CTGACAGTCCATGGTACCAGGAGGGGGAGAGTCGCAGACAGTAGGAGAAGTGGAGTTCCTACTATACGAGACTCATTGTTGACTCATTGACTTCTGTTCATCAGCAGGTCCCTACTGCTGTCCTTTGCCCAATGATTCAGAGTCCTTCACTCCTGAGCATTATTTTTTTTTGCCATATTCCTTGATGTACGTGTGGGGAGGGTCAGAACCTAGACCTGCTCATGCTACCGTCTTCCCAGAATTCATTCTATGCATTATTGATGAATATATTCATATTTGAAAGTATGCATAGAAGTAGAAACCCAAAAAAGTTAACAAACATTTGAAAATGTGCTCAAAATCATTGGTAATAAGGAAAATGAGAATTTAAACCATGGCAAGGTATCACTTTATACTGAATCAGACTGTCAAAAAATAGAAAGCTGGATAATGCCAAGTGTGGGTGGTGACTGGATGAAACCTCACGCGCTGTCGGTTAGAGTGTGGAAGGGGACAGCCATTGTGCAAAGCAAACCGGCATATACACATCCACGACCTAGAAATTCTGCTCCCAAAGAAGGAGACCTACAGATCTCTAAGGGACCTTGCGTGAGGATGTTCACTGCAGCATTATTTATAGTGGTGATGCAGGGGGAGTTGAAAGTAGCCTAAGTGTCGTCACTGGGGTCGGAGACAGTAAAATGGAGGATGCACACCAGAAGCAACATGGATAGATCTTAAAAACATAGTGCTGAGTGAGAAAAGTAGGAATAGGATACACTATTGAACTCACGGATGTGTAAAAGAAAAGTTATATGCATAGGAAAAGCCATGCCCATTGTACAAGAACCACCCATTGCTGTCAAGTCAATTCCGACTCATAGCAACCCTATAGGACAGAGTAGAACTGCCCCATAGGGTTTCCAAGGAGTGGCTGGTGGATCTGAACTGCCAGCCTCTTGGTTGGCAGCTGAGCTCTTAACCACTGTGCCACCAGGGCTCCTACAGAACACACAGCAACAACAAAAAAGCTATATATGAACATATTATAATGTTTGCCAGTAGAGGGCGCTGAAAGAAAATGGCTATGGGAACATAAGGGAATAAATTTAAAACAAGAAGGGTCTTGCGGGGAGTAATGAGGCATAAACTGACTGTTGTTATTAGCTGCCACTGAGTCACCCCCGACTCATGGTGACCCTGTTCACAACAGAATGAAATGCTGCCCAGTCCTGCACCATCCCCATGATTGGCTGTTTGATCCATAGGGTTTTCATGAAATAAATCACTGATTTTCTGAAGTGGATCGCCAGGCCTTTCTTCCTGGTCCATCTTAGTCACGAAGCTCCGCTGAAACCTGCTCAGCATTATAGCAACACACGGGCCTCCCCTGACAGATGGGTGGGGGCTGCGCATGAGGTGCATTGGTCAGGAATCAAACCTGGATCTCCCACATGAAAGACGGAAGGACCACCACTGTTCCCTATAAACTCGGTGGGATTAACTCAACCCATAACACCTGAGATCCCAAACGAAGGCAGGGCAAAGGTGCTGAGGATGAGGGATTCCGAATTCAGTGGTGAGTTTATGTCTAGCGTGGGATCAGGTGGCTTCAAATAAATCCACAATGCACGGCTTCTTTAAGAACATCCGCAGTGAATGAAGAAAAAGATTTAGATTTGACAGAGTTGGGTTGTGAGTTCACGGGTTTTTGTTACATTATGTCCTACATTTCTTGTATACTTGAAATACTTTGTAATAAAAATTTTTACAGAAACTCTCATATCACCACTGAACGTGGAAAACAAGGCATCTTGTTTTAAACATAAAAACAATGAAAATGTGTTATTGAATTCTAGTCAGACACTGCAGTCTGTTGAGGTCTTCTCTAAGCCAAGTTAGAGAAGTTACCTGAGGTGCTGTCCGAAGGGCTGGGTGAGGACTGGATAACTATCTTGTTCTGTGAACCTTGTATCATTTCATGCCATGTCCATGTACAGCCGACAATAATCCAGCTGCCCTCTTTGGAAAACACCATTTTAACACATTGAGGATATTTCTTTGAAAGGATCTACCCTCTGTGAAAGCACTGTAATTTAAAAATAAATACATAAGAAAAATGTACATATCATGAGTGTACAAGTTGATGCATTTTCACAGTCTGAGCACCCCCGTGTAACCAGTATCCAGACCAAGAAAGAAACCAAAAACAACACCAAAAAAAACAAACCCGCTGCCGTCGAGTCGATTGTGACTCATAGCGACCCCATAGGACAGAGTAGAACTGCCCCATAGGGCTTCTAAGGAGCAGCTGGTGGAATTGAACTCCCGACCTTTGGGTTAGCAGCCAAGCTCTTAACCACTGCACCACCAGAGCTCCCAAGAAAGAAAAGTCCTGCTCATTCCTCTCCCAGGCACGTTCTCCCCTGGAGTAAACACTACTTTGACTTTTTTTTCTCCATAGATTTGTGTTGCCTGTTCTACACCTTCATCTGGAATCGTAGGATGACTACAGCTTTTTTTCAGTCTGGCTTTTTCACCCGGCATAAGATTTCTGAGATTCATTCCTGTAGTTGCTCGGTAGTCTGCATGTACCAGACCGCATTTCTCCATTCCGCTGGACCGTTTGGGTGGTTTCCAGTTCAGGGATTTTATGAATTCCATTCCTAGCGTTTGGTGAACAGAAGCAGAGGGAATTCCCAAGGAGGAGGGGCTGCTTCTAAAGTAGGCATATGTTTATCTTTAGGATGTGTTAGCATTGTAATTTTTTGAGGAAGTAAATAGCATTTCAACATTTATTGTAATAGTAAGAACAGTGAAAACTCAAGTTAGACATCAAAGTATACTGGCATCACGTTTCCGGACAAAACGGAGCCCTTTTCTGACCGGTGGCATATGAATGCCCCAGTGATGACAATTTTTGCTTTTATTGGACTTTTTATATAACTTCCAACTACTAACGGTTGGGGGCAGTGGTGGTTCAGTGACAGAATTCTCGCCTTCCTGCGGGAGACCCAGGTTCAATTCCCAGTCAATGCACCTCAGACGCAGCTACCATCCGTCTGTCAGTAGATGCTGAACAGGTTTCAGCGGAGCTTCTAGACCAAGACTAGGAAGAAAGGTCTGGCAATCTATTTCCAAAAAAGTCAACCAGTGTAAACCCTATGCATCACAATAATCCGAACCTGTTGGGCATGGGGTCACCATGAGTCAGGGGCCGACTGGACGGCAGCTAGCGACACAACACTTACCAGTTGTTTGAAAATAAAAATATTTCATATTATCAGCTTGGCCCTATCGGTTTGCAAGGTATTTTAGCCAGGACTTACAGAGTGTGGAGTCTTCTCGTTGGTTGACATAAATGTAAATCAACAGAGAAAAACTATTTAAAATCTAAAATGCATTCACTAGAAGCCAAATTAGCCATTTTAATTGGAAAACATCCTTTATGTCGTATTTCGGAGCCATTGGGATCTGATGTGTCTTCTGCTTGTCCGTCTCGCATACACTGGGAAAGTCACAACTCAGAGAAAAAGCACAGTAAATGCCCTGGGCCTGGGAAGCGAGACGTTCTGGGGAAGGATTGGGGGGGCCCCTAGCCACCATTTCCGCCTGCGGAATCAGCCTCGTGCCACCAGGCGCCATTGACCGGAACGTGGGGCTCCTGAGCCGGCTGGGGAGGCGTGGCCACGGGCTGCGTACCAGGACCCCTGCCAGGCGCTTTGCAGACCCCACTCAGTTCCCTTCGCTGCCCTGCCGGGGAAGGTGGTCGGATGATGCCCATTCTGCTGATGGGCAAAGACACACGCCGAGTCACCGCCCAGAAGAGGCGGGGCTGGGGTTTGAACCTAGGTCTCTTCTCCGGTTCTGCAGCCTGAAGACCTTTCAGGCTCCTCACTGCACCCCTGCGTTGACCGCATACTTGTGTGCGTGTGTGGAAGGAGTGCTTTTCTCCCAGCGAGCCCATTCAGTGGCCCTCTCCCTTTTTCTAGCACACTCGCGCCCCCACGTTGTACACTCATTTCCTTTAACTCACTTCACACACACATCTTGTGTGCAACCCTCCACCATCACTCCACAGTCCCCATTCAGTCTCCCGCCCTCCCGCCCACCTATGCCTCATCTCTCCAGCCACAGCCCTGAGCCAGCCCTGTCCTCCCCTCCCTGCTTGGGCCTCTCCCTGGCTCCTGGCCTCAGAGAGGTGTAGCCACCTACCCAAGGTCACACACAGCCAGAGGAGGTGAAGATGGAATTGGGAATTCACTCATGGGTCCAACTTGTCTCTCTCTCTCCCTCTCTCTTTCTTGCTCCCCTGAGGGCCCATGTCCTAGGCAGAGAGACACTGGGGGGCTCTTTACTTCACTCACCCCTCCCCTCCCTGCAGCATCACCACCAAAGCCTGGGAACCAGGGCCGGGGGCGGGGAACACAGGCAAATCACCCTGCCCAGGTGGCCGGACACTAGCAGGATCTGGAATTTCAGGCTCATAAATCCCTTTGGAGAGGAGCTCATAAAAGCCACTCCCCTGTCCTGGTCTGCCTGCCGGGCCTTTTGCCCCCTCCCCTGGATACCTCCCCCTCCTTCCCCATTCCTTGTAGACTGGCCCAAGGAGGGGCCCGGGCATATATAGGGAGCCACTGTGGTGTGGCCAGAGAGGCTTCAGGCAGAGAAGGTGATGATGGGGCTGAAGGGCTGGAAGCAGCGGGCGGGGGGGGGGGGGGGGGTGCGGTGCGCTGGTGAGGGAGGTCCTGGAGCTCAGGGAGGGCAGCTTTGCATTCCGGCCAGTGGCTGCCCTGCCAGAGCCTCGATTTCCTCTTCTGTGAAATGGGTCTCAGATCAGTGCCCACCACCAGGGCTGTGGGAGGCTGGGCACATTCAGTAGCAGACTGGACCCAGCAGAGAGTGGCAGGCAGCCCCTGGCAGCTGGGGTGTGAGGTGAGGGAGGTGGCTTGGGCTGGGTCCTCCCTCCCCTCCTGGCCTCTGCCCAGCCTCAGCCCTGTTCACATGTCCCAGGCAGGACCATGGCTTCTGCGGTGGCCGAGGCAGAGAAAGGATCCCCGGTCGTCGTGGGGCTGCTGGTTGTAGGCAACATCATTATCCTGGTGAGACACCCCCCAGTACCGGGGTACTTAGTGGGTGTGTGGTAGGAATGGGGGAATCCTGAGCCTGTGGTGGGGGTGAGGGCTCAGGGGTCCCCAGGAAGCTGGTGCTGCAGACTCTCAAGTCAAAGCATCCTGGACTGGAACCCCAGCTCCACCTCTCCCCACTGTGTGGCCTTGAGCAAGTGACTTGACTTCTCTGTGCCTCTCTTCCCCATCTGTACATTGTGTCCTCATTGTGTGGGTTGCTGTGTGGATTAAATGGACCGATCCACGTATGCCCTCAGCCCTGAAAAAGTGCTTAACAAATGCTAGGTATCATCAGCAACATCGTTACGGACATAAAGTCACTGCTGAGCACACAGGGGGCCCATAGTAATGGATCATCACAAAGTGTTTTAATGGATGTGGATTTTTTTTTGTTTTGTTGTGTTTTTTCAAATGTGTGTACCTGCATGTGGCTCTGGAGTTAGACAACCTGGGTTCAAATCCCGGCTCTGGCATTTTCTAGTTGTGAGACCTGGAGCCAGCGACGTAACTTCTCTGGACCTGTTTCCTCATCTGTAAGATAGAGACGCAATAGAAACACTGTGAGGATGAATGAATTATTGGCTTAATGAGCGCAGAACAGCGTTTGGCACCTGGTTACCATCTCTACTGGCCCTAACGCCAGTAGTGACTCTGCAGCTGGGTGGCAATAATGAGCATCACACAGAGTTACTGGGACCCACACCAGCCGCGTAGTAAGTGCTCCAGAAAGGGTAGCTTTACTGCTGTCAGAAGGTGTCTACTGAGAAGTCCACCTCCCTCCTCGCTTCCCATCCCTCACCCCTGCAGGTAACCAAGTTTTTAGTTTCTTCAGCATAGTATTAAGCAAATAGAAGCAATTATGCAAATTTTCTCCAGGAAGGAGCTCCTTCCACATCCTGTCCCACGCGCCCCTTCTTCTCCTGGTGGTATCGCCTCCGGAGCCCTGGTGGCACAGTGGTTAAGAGCTCGGTTGCTACCCAACAGGTTGGCAATTCGAATCCACCAACCACTCCTCGGAAATCCTATGGGCCTCCTGCGTGCTGAGCGGTGACTTTACGTCACTCACAGGGTTGCTATGAGTCGGGATTGACTCGCCGGCAGCAGGGGTTTTTTTTGGTATAGCCTGTGGCTTACTGCGCTCCATGTCAGCCCTCAGAGGGCCTCCCTGCCCTTTTTCACGGCTGCACAGTACCCATTGCGCGGCATCCTGATCCCATTACCCAGGGAAGAACCTTCTAGGTTTGCGGTTTTCCTACACCAGCGGGTATATCTGTAGGATTGAATCCTGGATGCAGAATTGCTGAGTCAAAGGATCAGTTGTTTGTAATTTGTAAATTTCCCCTCTGGGGGAATAACAGCACTATTCTGGGCAGGCAGGCTGACCCCAGCCTCTCCTCTGTGCAGGCGTGTTCTCCGGGCTTTGCTATGGCATCTCCTGTCAGATCCCAGCAACCTGGGGGGGCCGTGTCTTGGCCACTGTTACTACATGTCCGTTTTCTTGAGAGGGCAGTGGAGGCTCAGAGAGAGGAAGGGACTTAGGCACAGCAACTCCTGGGGCCCAGGGCTGCTGGCCCTGAGGAGGCCTTTCTAACCGGTCGCCCTGTCCAGCTGTCAGGCCTGGCCCTGTTTGCCGAGACAGTGTGGGTGACAGCCGACCAGCATCGCGTGTACCCGCTGATGGGCGTCTCGGGCAAGGACGACGTCTTCGCTGGCGCCTGGACAGCCAGCTTCTGCGGTTTCTCGTTGTTCGTGGTGGCCAGCTTTGGCGTGGGCGCCGCACTCTGCCGCCGCCGCGATCCTCACGGTGAGACCCCAAAAGCGGGGGTAGGGACGGGGAGCGTAAAGACCTTCATCCCAGAGTCATCATAACAACAGCCACCGCAGCTGCTAGCGTGTGCAGCGCGGCACCCCTCCGCGGGCCCCCCGCGCATCCGTTTCATTTCCCCATAGCCCATTCACCCAGGCTCCGCTGTCACCCGCATTTTACAGAGACAGAACGGGACACAGGAAAGAAGGGGAGGTGCATGGGGGAACGGCTCCTCCTTTGCACAGCGGGGGCCGGGATGTGAACCTCAGCCAGCCGGTCTCCAGAGCCTGTGCTCATGAACTCTTCCAATAACAACGACAGCAATAATAATAGCACAGCTATCGGGTGGCTATGAGTTGGCCTCGACTCCTCGGCGGCAATGGGTTTCCGTTTAACCTTTTCCTGAGTGCTCGCTAGGGGCTTTTCTAAATGCTCTCTGTGGGTCAGCTCCCTTATTCCTCACAGCCTGCCAGGAGCTAAGTGTTATTATCATTATTAACCATGAACTCATTCGGCAGGGATTGAAACTGAGGCTGGAGAAGTCACTTATCCGAGGTCACACCGCAAACAAGTGGCACAGCCGGGATTTGAACCTGAGCAGTTCAGCCCCTGAGCCTGTGCTCTTCATCTCTGCCAACAACAATAATAGCATCAGGACAACCCAGCCCTCCTGAGTGCCTCTCACATGCCTGACCCCAAAAAAACCAAAACCAAACCCATTGCCCTCGAGTTGATTCCCACTCGTAGTGACCCGACAAAGACCCTACAGGACAGAGTAGAACTGCCCCATAGGGTTTCCAAGGAACCCCTGGTGGATTCGAACTGTCGACCTTTTGGTTAGCAGCCGAGCTCTTAACCACCGCATCGCCAGGCTTTCCACCCAACACTAGGCTGAGGGATTTAGAGACACGAGCTCCCTCAGTCCTTTCAGCTGCCCTCTGAGGTGAGTGCTTTTCTACCCATTTGCCAGATGAGGAAACTGAGGCTCAAAGAGGCCAACAGCGCAGGTGGTTGGGAGAGCAGGAATTCCAATCCTGGCCTGACACTGTCCTTCTTCTGCAGCTGCTGGTCTTTTAGACTCCCAGGAGGGGCTATTCAATCAGCAAACGCCTACTGAGTAAGACCCAGGCGCTGTGTGCTAAGCACTACAGATCAAGCTCTTGCCCTGGGGGACCCATGTTCTGCTGGAGGAGCTGGCAAAGCGGCAGGGAGACCCTCACAGCCAGAGAGGGCATTGACCTGGAGGAGGCGAGGGAGTTAGTCCTGGCTGTAGCTGGGGGAAGAGTGTTCCAGGCAGAGAACAGACAAGCCTCTGAGGCCAGAGGGGACCTGGAGGCAGTGTGGCTGGAGCTGAGGGAGGGAGGGGGCTGGGGAAGGGGGTACAGAGTGGGGGAAAGGGGTACAGAGTGGGGCAAGGGGGCCTTGGTGAAGACTTCAGCTTTACCCTGAGTGAGATGGAGCCATGGGTGGGGGGGGAGGAGGGCTTGGCTTTTTCTTTCTTTAAAAAAAAAAATCCCTTATTTAATCCTCTGGCATAACAATTTAACCAAAACCCTAAAAGTTCACCCAACTAGTTAAAAAAAAAAATGTTTGAGTCTGTATCTGTCTCCCCTGTTAGTTTGCCATTAACTTAGACACTGGATTTTTTAAAGTTTTTCCTATGGGACATTTGAAGTGGATTGGCGTGATGGCACGGTGAAGCCTGTGAGCCCACGACCTGGTTCCAGCAATGGCGACCACAGATGCGGCTCACCCCGCCTCCTCTGCTTGCCCACACGCCCCGCCCCTCTGGGGTATTCTAAGGCACATTCCAGACACCAAGCCATTTCCCCTGTAAATACTTGGGTGCACATTTCTCCGGGTGATAAGGACATTGTTGTAAAGCAGTCAGGCTTGTTATGCAATATCGTAATTTGCTCTCCCAGTGGGGGGTTGGCACATCCACACCCCACACCTCCACACCCCATAGCTTTAAGGGTGAGGGTGAGGGGTGAGGACAGCTAAGGATTTGGGTAAGAGGTGAAAACAGGAAAATAATTTTCGCTAAGCACCAACTATAGAGCTTTTTTTTTTCTTTTTTTGCACAAGCACCATGCCATTGGCACACCGCAAAATCCACCCTGGTTTTTTCACCTCTTCCATTACCTAGTCTGTGTTCAAATCTCATTGTCTGGAGAATATTTTTTTCTTTTCTTTTTATAGTAGACATTTATTTTACTGGTCCAAGTCAATAGTTAACTTTGGGGATTATTTTACATATTTAAACTATTTTTTTGTTGTTGCAGTTGGTTTCGTTTTACTCAATATTTTATTACAGAAAGGAGCCCTGGTGGCGCAGTGGTTAAGAGCTACGGCTGCTAACCGAAAGGTCGGCAGCTGGAATCCACCAGCCGCTCCTTGGAAACCCTATGGGGCGGTTCTTCTCTGTCCTCTAGGGTCGCTGTGAGTCAGAATCAACTCAATGGCCACAGGTTTGTTTTACATTTTTTTTAGTATAAAAAAAGCTGAACCGTACAGAAAAGTTAAAAGAATTGTACAGCGAACGCCTGTATACCCACCGTATAGATGCTGTCATTCACGTTGCCCTACACTTTTTAAGAAATTACCTTTGTACCCACCAATGAATCCTTCAGGGGACGTGACTTCCCAGGCTTCTCCCTGACTGGCCACCCCGCTCTGTCCCCGCAGTACCTGGTGCTCATGCTCATCATCTACATCTTTGAGTGCGCCTCCTGCATCACATCCTACACCCATCGAGACTATGTGAGCCTGAACTGGGCAGCGGCCAGGGAGGGGTGTGACTTCAGGGGGGTGTGGTGGGGGTCCCGAGTATGGGACGGGGGGCCTCCCTTCCCACCCAGTCCTGCTGGACCCTGTTCTTCCGGCCTTCTGTAGATGGTGTCCAACCCATCCCTGATCACCAAGCAGATGCTGACCTTCTACAGTGCAAACACAGACCAGGGCCAGGAGCTGACCCGCCTCTGGGACCGCATCATGATCGAGGTGGGCCAGCGTGGGCGAAAGGGGGCGATGGTGGTTCCGTGATAGAATTCTCGCCTTCCATGTGGGAGATTCAGGTTGGGTTCCCAGTCAATACGCTTCACGGGCAGCCACCACCCACCTGTCCGTGGAGGTTTGCGTGTTGCCATGATGTGGAACGGGTTTCAGCAGAGCTTCTAGACTAAGATGGGCTAGGAGGAAAGGTGCGGCAATCTACTTCTGAAAATCAGCCAGTGGGAACCCATGGGCCGCAACGGTCTGATCCACAGGACCAATCAGTGTACAGCTGTGTGGTGCGTGGGTTCGCCACGAGCTGGGCTGATTCCGTAGCAGTAACAACAGGGTGGGGGCCGTGCAGGGAGGGCGTGGGGTCAGTCCACAGAGGGGGATGAGGGAGTGCTTTACAGGTGTCCACTCAGTGATGTCTGTGAGGAAGGGGCTCCATTCATGGCCATCTTCCAGATGACAAACAGGCTCAGAAAGGGAAGTCACTTGCCCAGGGTCACACGGTTGGTAAGTGGCAGAGTTGGGATTTGAACCTGGCAGCCTGGATCCAGAGCTGCTCCTAACCATCACGCTATGATGTTGTTGTTGTCAGGTGCTGGCGAGTCGGTTCCGACTCACAGCGACCCCGTGTACAACAGAATGAAACCCTGCCCGGTCCCGCGCCATCCGCACGATCATTGTTATGTTTGAGCCCATTGTCGCAGCCACTGTCAATCCATCTTGTGGAGGGTCCTTCTCTTTTTCACTGACCCTCTGCTTTAGCAAGCATGATGTCCTTCTCCAGGAACCGGTCCCTCCTGATAACACGTCCAAAACATGTGAGAGAAAGTCTCACCATCCTGGCTTCTAAGGAGCATTCTGGCTGTACTTCTTCCAAGACAGATTGGTTTGTTCTTCTGGCCGTCCGTGGTGTATTCAACCTTCTTCACCAACATGGTAATATTACACTGTACTCTGCCTCAATAACGAAAACAGCAACAATAATAATGATAGCAAACGTTTATTGAGTACTAACTTCTATTTTGCACCGTTCAAAGCACTTTTAAAGCTTATTTAGTCCTTACAACCACCACCTGAGGGAGGTGCTGTGAGCAGCTGTTTACAGGTGAGGGAGCCCAGGCCAGGAGGTAAGTGACTTACCCTATAGCACAGAGCCAGAAGGGGCCAGTCCAGGCCCCCAGGTTCCAGAAGCCATATTCTTAATTAAACCCAACATGATACTATTTCTCAAGAGGACGAGACGGAGGTCCTTTTTGCCCCGAGTCACAAAGCCAACTGGCCAGGATTCGAACCCATGTTTGAAGGACACCCGAGCCTGTTTCCATCATTCAGGGGCCGCACATTCAAACACCACAGGTGCCAGAAGAAGCCAGATGCCTGCCTCTTCATGTCATTTGGGGCAGTTTTTGTCAACAACCAATTAAAAAAAACATTTTTTTGTTTAAACAAACGCTGTGGGTTCCGCCTAAATCCCCCATCAGCCTTACACCCCCCCCCCCACAACTTTGAGGCCCAGGGCAAGGGCCGCTGGGGGGCAGGTCCAGTTTGTCCCTCCTCACTGTGTGGCCTCAGGTGAGCGGCTGCCCTCTCTGAGCCCGAGCCTGCCTGACCCCCATCTCTGTCTCCAGCAAGAGTGCTGCGGCACCTCCGGGCCCATGGACTGGGTGAACTACACCTCAGCCTTCCGGACGGCCACTCCCGAGGTGGTGTTCCCCTGGCCCCCACTGTGCTGCCGCCAGACTGGCAACTTCGTCCCCCTTGATGAGGAAGGCTGCAGCTTGGGCCACGTGGACTTCCTGTTCACCAAGGTGTGCTGTGTCCCGCAGCTCGCCTCTCCTCCTGTCTGCCCATCCCTCTCTGCTCCTGGCTCTTCTGCTTCCTCTCTAGCTCTCCCATCCCTCCCCTCCCACTGGCTGCCCATCTCCCTCCCTCTCTCCTCCCCCCTCCTCACTGGCTCCCCCAGCTGTCTCTCCACCTGGACTTCCTTCTTCTGCTTGTCTGTCTCTTGCTGGGTCCGTGTCTCTCCTTTGGGTCTCTGCGTCTCTCTCCCTCCTTGTCTTTCTTTTTCTTTCTCCCTTCTTCCCTCTGTCTCCTGTCTTCTCCCTGTCCCATCCCTCTGCTCCCCATTCAGTCTGATTTTCTCCCTCCCCCTTCTTCTCTCTCCTTTCTGCTTCTTCCCCAGCTGTCCCTCTCTCTCACACTCCCTCACTCGGCCTGTCGCCTTCTCTGTCCCTCGCTCCCTCTGTTTCTTTCTAAGGAGCTTCCCCAAGTGTCTGCTCCGGTGCCCAGCCCCACACCACACCCCGTCCGTGTTGCTCTCTCTGCTCCTCCCCACCAGCCCAGGGAGGACGTCCTCAGCTGCCCAGTCTACAGGTAAGGTAACTGACACAGCAGGTTCTCAGACTTTGCCGTGACTCACAGTCACCTGGAGGACTTGTGAAAGAACCTCCAATATCTGATTCAGGGTGTCCGGTGGCGCAGGGATTAAGAGCTACAGCTGCTCACCAAAAGGCCAGCAGTTCAGGTCCACCAGCTGCTCCTTGGAAATCCTATGGGGCAGTTCTACTCTGTCCTACAGGATTGCTATGAGTCGGAATCCACTCAATGGCAATGGGTTTTTAAAACAAGTCCTCAGATGATGCCGATCCTGCTGGCCATACTCTAAGCACCACCGCCTTAGGGGAGGACGCTTGCCTGAGGCCACAAGCAGTCAGCAGGATGCACGCAGGGGCTGTTCCGTCAGAACGGGCATCTGCTACTTTTCTCAGGTTGTCTGGACTGAGGCAGAGGATAAGAGCGACAACACAGCAACAGAAAACCAGTAACGACCAACACGTATCGCCCCGGGCGTTCTTCCAAGTATTTTACATTTTTTCGTTTTTAATCCTTAGCACAACCTTACGGGGTGAAGATTATAAACCAGTGGCCGTCAAATCAGTTCTGACCTATGGTGACCCCATGTGTGTCAGAGTAGAACTGTGCTCCCTAGGGTTTTCAATGGCTGGGTTTTGGGAAGTAGATCACCAGGCCTTTCTTCTGAGGTACCCCTGGATAGACTCCAACATCCAACCTTTCAGTTAGCAGCTGAGCACGTTAATCATTTGCAACACACGGGGACTCCAAACATTATAATAAAACTCATTGCTGTCAAGTTGATTCCAACTCATAGCAACCCCATAGGACAGAGTAGAACAGCCCTGTGGGGTTTCCAAGGAGCAGCTGGTGGATTTGAACTGCCAACCTTTTGATTAGTAGCCAAACGCTTAACCACTGCACCACCAGGGCTCCAATATTACCCCCAATTTATAGATGAGGAAACTGCGAGCTTGCCTGTTAGGAAGGGCTGGAGGTGGGCTTCCCTTTCAGGCAGCCAGGCCCCCAAGCAAGGCCTTTAACCACTGCAAAGCGAGTGTCAAACCAGGAAGAGAAACCAGGAGGTTAGCCTAAAGGAGAACCGGCTCCAGAGGTCCTTCTGCTGCTTCCGGCTGCTTGGGGGCCCTTCAGCCTCGTGTCTTAGATCAGGTGTCATGGAGAGGGCCAAACCAAAAAAACCAAACCCATTGCCGTCGAGTCAATTCCAACTCATAGCGACCCTATAGGACAGAGTAGAATCACCCTATAGGGTTTCCAAGGAGCGGCTGGTGGATTTGAACTGCTGACCTTTTGGTTAGCAGCCATAGCTCGCTGTAGCTCTTAACCGCTGCACCACCAGGGTTCCATGGAGAGGGTGGCCTGTGTGAAAACCATAAGCACAAGACAGCACCGCCATGGCTGGACCCCGCCTCTGCCGAGGCGTTCACACATCCTCCTCGGGAATCCCTGAAGCTGCTCTCGGAGTGCAGTGCTATCAAGATGGCCACCTCAGAGATGGGTGTCTGAGGCTCAGAGGCTCAGAGTCATAACCAGGACCCACAGCCAACAAATGGCAGAGCTGGCCCCCAACTTGGACTCCAGGGCATGCATCCTGAACCTCTATTCTCGGCTGCCCCCAAGCCGGGGCAGAAGTCTGCATGAGGGTGACTCTGGCCTCATTCAGCCTCATCTCTAAATGAAGAGGTGTCAGAACTGGGCTGATCCTACAGGTATATTTCAAGCCCTTAGAACTTGTGGGCAGTATGGGAAACTGGCTCTAAAAACAATGGCCCTCAAACTGTCATAGCCACAACCATCATCAGCACGGTGCCTACTTGTGCAGGGCCTGAGTGCGATGCCACCTCCCTGGCTCCCCGAATCCACCCTGAGAGGTAGATACTTCCACCAGGCCCATTGCACAGGTCGGGGAATCAGGGCTTTCCCAGCGGGGCACAGTGACTCCTGCCCACAGCTGCCAGCCTCCCTGGACATCTTCTCAGACCTTCATTTGCCCCCATGCACAGGGCTGCTTCGAGCACATTGGCCACGCCATCAACAGCTACACGTGGGGCGTCTCGTGGTTCGGGTTTGCCATCCTGATGTGGACGGTGAGAGGCAGGGAGCCTACAGGCTGGTGGGATGTGGGCATGGGGCTGGAGTGTCCCTCACCCGGCTGCCTCCTTGTCCAGCTCCCTGTGATGCTGATAGCCATGTATTTTTACACCCCACTGTGAGGAACAAGAAAGGCAGGCCAAGTGCACACCTCTGCTTCCTCCTCCTCCTGCTTCTGCTTCCTCCGGCTGGAGCCTGGATGGTCACCTCACTACGCTTCCCACCTCCCTCACCCTTCCCTCTTTCTACTCCCAAGGTCCCTGTCATGGATTGAATTGTGTCCCTCAAAAATGTGTGTCAACTTGGCTGGGCCGTGGTTCCCAGTATTGTGTGGCTGTCCACCATTTTGTGATCCAACGTGGTTTTCCTATCTGTTGTAAATCCTACCTCTATGATGTTAATGAGGCAGTTATGTTAATGAGGTAGGACTTAATCTACAAGATTAGGTTGTATTTTGAGTCAATCTCTTTTGAGTTATAAAAGAGAGAAACAAGCAGAGAGACAGTGGGACCTCATACCGCCAAGAAAGCAGTGCTGGGAGCAGAGCGTGTCCTTTGGACCTGGGGTCCCTGTGCTGAGAAGTTCCTAGACCAGGGAAAGATTGATGACAAGGACCTTCCCCTAGAACTGACAGAAAACCTTCTCCTGGAGCTGGCACCCTGAATTTGGACTTCTGGCCTCCTAGACTGTGAGAGAATAAATTTCACTTTGTTAAAGCCATCCACATGTGGTCTTTCTGTTATAGCAGCACAAGATAACCAAGACAGTCTCTTTCCAGGTTTCTGAGCCCCGTTCAGCCTTGGTGGGGGTGGGTAAAACCCCTGGACATGTGTGCATGGACCCTTTGCCCTTGACCTCATTTCACTTGGCTGATTCCTTCCTATCTTTGGGGTCTCAACTTAAAAGTCTCATCCTCAGGGGGTCCCTGATCCCACCACCCCATTCACAGATGCCTCTCTCATAGCTCCCCAAGCTTTTCCTTCAGTGTCTCAGGTGTCAACACTGTCACAGAATAGTTTGCATGTGATTGTCTGTTTAAGCTCTAGTAGACTGGGATCATCACAAGTAGAGAGACCAGTTCTGCCACGATCATGTTATTGACCCCAGCATCGCCCATCACGGGACTGAGCATGGACTAGATACTCAGTAAATACTGGTTGAATGAAGTTGTTTTCTCCTGGAGCAAGGGTGAAGGAACAGGAACTCTTTCAATGGAAGTAGCAGAAATCACACCCATTGGCTCTGGCTGAAGCATAAAATTTATTAGCTTATGTAACTGAGTTGGTAGGGCTTGTTTCAGGCACATCTGGATCCAGGTGTTCAATCTAGGTTTCCAGAAAACTTACTTCATGCTCAGGCAGGATTTCTTTGGCAACCCTAGACTTGCATCTTTATAACTAAGCAACACAGCTTGGAGAAAAGACCTCTCTCCCAATAGCTTTAGCCAATGTCCAGGAATTGAATCATATCGTCTTGGCCTGGAGCCCTGGTGGCGCAGTGATTAAGACCTACAGTTGCTAACCAAAAGGTCAGCAGTTCAAATCCACCAGCCACTCTTTGGAAACTCTATGGGGCAGTTCTACTCTGTCCTATAGGGTCCCTATGAGTGAGAATCAACTCAACGGTAACGGGTTTGGTCTTGGGTTGGGTTTTAGGCCCATCCTTTGGCTGGGGAGGGCAGGACACCTTGACTAGTCATGCCAAGGATGTATCCAGTAGTGGTGTTGGGGAGGGTGGTTGTTTCTCAAAGAAAAATCAGGGTGCAGTGTTGGGCAAGTATAGGTGCTGACATCTTCCTCCGAAAAGCTATAGCTTCTAGCAAGTTCTCTAAGGGGTCCATGACAGCAAACAGTTTAAGAATCTCATTACCCCTCTTTTGTCCTCCCTGAAGCAGCCCCGCTGTATGGCCGTTATGCAGTGATTAGGCCTCGCCAGGAGGACTTGGCTTCCTTCCCATTGAAGGAAGTTTCCCTGGATCCTCATTTATTCCACTGATCTGCAGATGGTCTTCAAATGTCGAATCCATATTTCAGTTTTAAAAATATCCTTTAAAAAATCTGTAATGTCAAAGAGGTCATAGTTTGCAAGGGTGAAAAATGGGAAAGAACCTAACACACATCAGCAATGGATGGGCTGTGTAACTCATGGAATGTCCTTGGACTGGATTTTCTGTGGCAGTTAGGAAGATAGATCTAGGTGAGCTGATATAAAAAGATGTCATATGGTATGGATGCATCCCTGGTGGTGCAGTGGTTAAGAGCCCTGCTGCCCACTAAAAGGTCGGCAGTTCAAATCCACCAGGAGCTCTCTGGAAACCCTATGGGGCAGTTCTCCTCTGTCCTATAGGGTCACTATGAGTCGGAATCGACTCAGCGTCAGTGGGTTTGGTTTGGTTTTTTTGGTATGGTATCGATAATTGGACATTATCTTTATGGATATTCACTATAGTAACCTAAATGGCCATCCGTAGGGGATCGGCTAAATTAGCTACACTATGTCCACACTCTAGAATACCACAGAATACCATGGAAAAAGCTCCAAGAAATACAGAGCAGACAAAATTGCAAAATACATAACATATTTTGTTCCTGTGGGTACGTATCCATCAAACGTGATGCTGAACACACTTGGAGGTGCGGGATTGGTCAGGGGGATTTGGCCTTCCCTTCAATGGGTTAATGTTTAAAGGAATGCCAAAAATACTTTTTAGAAAGGCAAAAAGCTTTTGTAATCTTTCCATTTAACAGATGATAAAAATGTCGTTTTTGGCTTTTTAAAAGTTTACATTAAAAAAAAAAACCAAATCTGTTGCTGTCGAGTCAATTCCAATTCATAGCAACCCTAGAGGACAGAGTAGAACTGCCCCATAGGGTTTCCAGAGAGCTCCTGGTGGATTTGAACTGCTGACCTTTTAGTGGGCAGCAGGGCTCTTAACCACTGTGCCACCAGGGCTCCAAATTTTACATAGATACATCTATGTATACTGACACAGGCACACATGTTCAACGGAATCCGGCTTTAAATATTGCTTTGCAACTTGCCTTCTTCACTTAACCATATATAGCAGCCATCTTTCCATGTCAGTATATATAAATTCACCTTGGTTTTTTTTTACTGTTATACTATCTTCCAGAAGAGAGACACATCAGACATCATCACGATCTGTTGTTAAGTGAGAAAGACAAGTAGCAAGATTTTACGCATAAATTATTTCATTTTCGTAAAAGTCCTATATGCATATTTCCCATGAAGAAATCCTCCGAGGAGAAGAGTGAATTTTATAAAGATCATTTATGAGTTTTCAGAAACAAAATACTAATAAAGGGATTTCTAAATTACTGAGCAATATACAGCTTTCCTTTTCAAACCGGAATTGTAAAAGCACCGTTTAGATGTGACACACGCTGTATTGTAACTCATAGGAACTTCTCCAGGCTAACCAGCTGAGCTGGCTTTTCTCAGGCCCTGCAATGAAACTCCCCCCCACCCCAACCCCGCCACCGGCATATATTTGACCTGCTTATAAATGTGTCAAGGAAAGGGGCATTCCATCTTAATCTGCTTTTGAATTCAGGCAAGTCCTCCTGTGACTCAGATCTCTGAGACAGGCCAGGAGTCAGCACCATCACACTGGGGCAGCTGAGTTCTCTCTGTGCGCCTGGATGCGCCCCTCTGTAAAATGAGGGCTGTGACAGTACCTACTTCATGGGATGCATTCAGAGAGCTCAGGAAAAGTTAGACCTTTTATTATGAATCGGGGATTTTCCCAGTGCTGTGTGATCAGCACCAAACGCAGGGATAAACTCCTTGCTGAGGCTGCAGCTGTCTCTGCTAAGCCCCGATTTCAAATGTTTGGGACCCCAGCCTTCCTGATGTACAGACCCTAATTCACTCACGTGATGGATGCTTTCACTAAGAGGTGCCCCACCCACGGGCTCAGCACATACTAAGTTAATATGAGTTTTGGGCTGGGAGCCTTTAAAGATCGTTTGTGGATTTAATGGAGATCGATATGTGTAAAATCAGTTTTTCCCCTTAAAAACCACACGGATTTAATGGCATGAGGAGTATTTAATGGCACGGGGAAATAATCAGGAAATTGTTAAGCAGATTATAACACAGCATGCCAGGTATGATCCCTTTTCTGATAAAAATAGAAATATGTGTGTGTTTGCATTAAAACATTTTTTAAAAGCCTCCCAAATATTATCATTGGTTATTGGAGAAGAAGAGGCATTTACAGGGGATTTTTATTTCATTCCTTGGGCTTTTTGGTATTTTCCAGATTTTCCAGGGTGGTTATTGCTTTTGTTCTTCACACAAATCAAGAAATAAATGTTAAAAAAAAAAAAAAAGAAAGAAACGTAAATAAAAACGCCACGGACGGCCACAAGATAGGCACTGAGAAAAAGAATTATTCTGCCTAAATGCTTTTGAACTTCACCTAAGCAGCTGAGAGTGGTCAGGCCTCGAGCTGTCAAAGCTGGCCTCCGGGCCATCGGGCAGCAGGCCCCCACTCTGTCCCACGCCCCTCACTGCCCTCTCTGGCTCCTGCCGGACCACACACCTGTGAGTCCAGCTCAGCCGGCCTGGCAACGGTGTGGCTGGGCCAAGGCAGGCCGCAGCCAGCAGGACAGATCTGGACCTTCCACTCAGAGGCCTGCTCTTGTGGGTGAGAGGGGAGCTCAGAGGCGAGGGCCAGGTCAGGGCTGGGAACCCCTAAGCTAGATGAAGCCACTTGATGGTGTCCCTACCACATCCCTACAACCCACCTCCTTGGCCTCTTCCCTCCTTGGTTCCCCAGGATCCTTAGCGCAAAGGCTCGTTCCTCGGCCTGGTACTGACAGCCTGGTGCGGCCTAGACCCTTGCCACCTCCCTAAGCCTATCTCTTTCTCTCCTGCCCCTCTGAGCAAACTCTCACAGTCTGAGGTCATAGGTATGGAAAGAATAAACTATGATGTTCTCTAGCAATCAAGCAGGGCACACATCTCTGACTATGTCCGCGGTTGAGTACAATGCTTCCACGAGGGCAAGTGGGTTTATCCCCTCAAATGTAAAACTCACACCCAGTTGATCCCTCTTCTGGGTCTCTGCTCCATGAACACTCACACATGTATGAAA